TCTCCGCAGTGAAATCCCAAGTACTTGGGTACAGATGCCGCATCCCAGAAGGCTCCATCGTACTTGCCGGAAACGTAATCTTAACATCTGATTCAGTTCGGGAAATAGGAATTAGATACTCGAACTCTTTCAATTTCTCCGAACATGTTCTTTATCAGGTTTCGAAAGCAAGGCAATTATGCGGATATATCACCAGAACTTTCTCCCTACCTGAAGCACGACTTGAGTCATTCAAGACAATAGTACGACCGACTCCGGCACATTGTACTATCGTTCACAGCCAATTGAGAAAGAAAGACAGAGCGGCTCTGGAAAATGTCCAACGATCATTTACCAAGCTGGTCATGGGGCGCTGCTCAAACCTGACTTATTATGATCGATGTCGAAAACTGCTGCTGGATCCACTTTGGCTGAGACGCTTAAAGAACAACATCGTTCTCTTCTACAATACTATAAACCAACGAATTTACGCAGACAGCACCGCACTTGAACTACGGAAGACTGCAATCTACCCCACACGTAATGGCGGCTACTTGATACGTACAAACCTTTCTAGTCATAAAACTCGGTCGAATTTCTTCTTAGTGAGATACACTGATCTGTGGAACAAACTACCCCTACAGATACGCATGTGTACAAGCCATGTCACGTTCCGAAATCTCCTTCAGACCTTCGTCACTATACCAAATGCTTTGAACACATTGGACTCACAGCAAACTCTAGAAACATTGACAGAAGCTGGTATAAAAAACATTTGAGAAGATATTCGCTTACAGCTAGCTTACCCACTACGTGTCATTACATACCATACCAAATCCCGCGTCTTTGCAGCCTAGTAGTCCCTCCCTTTATTATCTACTCTTGATGATACAACCATCCGTAAATTTTACATATGAGGTGCAAGGGTCTAGCACTCAAGGAAAAAAATCATGATCCGAAATTCTATTAACAAACTTTACTTTAATTTTATGAAACGAATTCACTATACAAATGATCGCTCCCACTTATGAGGCCGTGTACCGTCTGTCGGTAAATAAACAAATGTATGTGTGTTTGTAGATAGTCCACGCACGCAATTACCGCAACGGTCTACCGAACTGGATAACAGCAACGATCAATGGTAGTTGAGGAAAGATCATTTACGAGGTGCAAGTAGGGTCACAATTGTGGATTTGCCATGTGAATCAGTTACGACCAACCTCGTGCATGTCAGCAAAACAGAGGACGCGCAAACTGCTTTTGGATATGCTGATTGAAGCTTTTAACCTCCCGAGGTCCATAGCAAATTCAGAAGCACCGAAGACTCCGCCAACGATTCCTCGACTAAGACGCCGTAGAGATCGCTCTCGGAAGACTACAACATGTTTGCACATAACTCCTCGGAAGTTTTCCTATGATTGACATCTTCAAGAAGCGAGTTGTTAAGATCGGAGACAACCTAACCGGAGTCGAATCTAGTTTTGAAAAACCGGGGTCAAATGGCGTCACGGAACTGGGTTTGAAACTTGTTATTTGCCACACAAAGTACATAAGCCACATGTTCCGAATCGAATGTACAACTGCCTACAGGTGGGTATACACAGAGTTAGTATGTGTTCACCAAAACCCACGAAACTTGTGTTTGTTTTGTGTAACAGAACACTGTTCTTATTACCTGGTCAACGCAACGTACAATTGTTTTGAAAAACCCACCTGCAATAAAATCACACATGTTTTGACTATGAGATACAACAGTTTTATGCTATTGGCAATTGTCTTATCCGGTTTGATATTCACCTAGCTAACCGGTATCGCTTGTTCTGAGAATACCACGGTATATCGGCAAGAGTCAGAGGGAGCCCAATAGACATTCTTCCTGCTTGCACACACACACACACACACACTATACACGTTAGCTAGAGGTGGGCAACACCTTAGCTACTGTGCCGCAATACCTAAAACAAAAAAGGGAATAAAATTTAAAAGGTGCAAGCCAGATGAGCTACCGGTAACGGATGGGGATCGCTCCGGTAAACTATCTGCCGGCTACTATGCACCAGAAAGAAAAAATAATAATAATAATTTACTATGCAAAATTACAAAATGCTTACTAATGAGATCGTGATTGGAGAGGGAGGCTAAGAGGAGTGAGGTGGGACAAAGAAACCCACAGCAGGAACGTCACTGAGGTCGCCTCCTAGCCATACCAGTAAGTGTATCCGACCAAACGTGTTCATCGTCTTTCTGGCCCAAACCAGCGAGCCGAGACGCTCCAACTGAGGCCAGCTTCGAAGTGAGGGCCTTTATTCCTCTCGAGCAAGTCATCGACTGGACACCTCTCCTCTTCTTCCATCCACACCCCCAGGGGCGCGCAAACAACGCACGTCGTGGGAGTCGTTGGGCTGCCATGCGTAACACATGGCCAAACCAGCGGAGCCCCGTACGTGAATCAACCGTGAACTCCCAGTCCGTTCCGAGTGTATTCCAAGATAAGTCAACTATAACTGCTGCACAGAAACTTTTGGATGCTTAAATCCAGTTCCCATTTCACACGAACGTTCTACATCAATACACTCAACTCGGTAACCGCTAAAACTGGGCAATGTACTTCTTTTTTCTCTTGGTACTTTCACCCCCCATTATGCTACGGGATTTGTCAAGCACCTGCTTTTGTACCCCGTGATAAATCCTTATTCTTATGGTCCAGATCTTGGGGTTCCTGGCATTAATTGACCCCTCAGTTCTCATTGACCGCATGTTGCTGCCACCCGGTACATTCCTATGCGCTGGAGCCAGCTTCCAATCACAGAAAAGTGGATTTCAACAATCTGTCTTTATCCCAACACACATTTGTAGTTTGTCGTTACATTATAAAGGATGCAATAAAGTCATTAGTTAACCGGTTTGTGACTCTCAAATTTAGGAAATATGGATCAATCAAATCAAACTGGTCAAAAACAGAGCACGGTAAAAAGACTCGGCAGCTGCGTAGGTTCTCGAACGAATTCATCTTCTCTTACTCAATACCCTGTTAATAGGTATATAAAGAGCAGCGGAGTAATTGTAACACCACGAAAACTAGCAACAATCGGCACTGAGTGTAATAGCTGGCAACCACAGCGCTCATGGCCTCGAAAATATTATTTACCTACGTGAAGCGGGGCCTGAATTCAACAGGTGATGCACAAGTTACTACCGTACTTATCGGATGCTGTGAGTCGACCTTAATATGACCTACCAAATTCTACATTTAAGTAACTTTCTATGTTGAGTCCGACGAGCCACTTTGGAACGCCTTGAATTACATACAGACACCAGTTCAAGTTTGTGGTGCCAGATCTGAAGTGAGTTCCCCACCGCATGCTCTTCCAAGGGCTAATGCTTAACGTTTGGAACAGTGTAAGAATGCTCGGTGCAGCATTTGAAAACATTGAGAGTTAACCGCAGCCGTTTCTAAGTCTGATGGCTCATCACATTTCTCCACTGTTCGACTCCGAGAACAGTTACGCGCTGATCATGAGATCACTGTTATATGAGACCAAGTTAATGTCAGTCACACATTTGGTCTCCATAACACGTAGTAACTTGGGAACCGAGCAGGTTTTTGACACGTAATACATGGTATTTTGTTTCTTTTTTGACGCATTTGCTTACATTTTGATGGGGTAGCAGATAGCTAAATTACTGCTTGCGTTCATAATGCAGTATTCAGTATGAGTAATATTCAAAAATCCATGACAATGCCATTCGTGTTGTACCACAAGCACATAGGCTTCAGTTGCAGTGCGGTTAGAGGCTGAGGCTTCCGATGCTGTTTACTGACGGAGTCACTGCTCTGGCTACACACAGGGCACATAGGTTTCCACAGGCAGACTGTGAGTGCGTGAAATTGCGTGTTTGATTTTCGACTGTGCCTTCAAACCCTTTCAATGGAACCGCCACCAACATGGTATCCCCGACGTGCACCGAAATCAAAAACCCAATAAGAAACTATAGTAGAGGTTTCAAATGAAGAGCTACCTATAACGTACCTATTGCATCCCTATGGTATCAACCGTGAACCACTAGGCTCTGATTTCCACCCCAGCTCAGGCTATCTCCACCTGATAAGTCCAAACCAGGACGAAATCGCATTCCTGGTGGGCCAGTGTTGGGATGATCAACACCAAAATATTTCCTATTACATCCCTGTATAATCCCCAACCATTGGCATTCCTGCATGCGTATGTTACACACCTAATTACGAACCGTCCCTTTGTGGGCCCGGTTTCTGTTCAGAGAAAAACATTTGTTATTATTAATAGTATTAGTATTAAATGTTAATGGGGAGCCTACTTAAGGAAACAGCTATTTGTTGCCTAAGGATACGAGGCACAGGCGTCATTCTGGGTGCCTTATTAAAGAGGAGTACGCGCCACATTCAAGACGCTTTGCTATATAAAGTCGGAATGCGTGCACCCTCTGCCTTTACACCACGAATATGTGTGAAACGGAGAGTTGGTATGCTAGAAAATTGATGTCGGATCCCACCCACACATGTGTTCGGTCTTATTTATCCCTGTGCGCATTGGATAAGGGTTGCGTAGGTGACGCGATGCGATTCAACTACAGCCCCTCCGCCCGTGAAAGAGTACCACGTTCAACCGTGGCCATTTCATCCGACTAGTTCGGAACTGGTTGCCGCCAAACACACACCATAACACAGTAAACCAACAGTGGAAAATGAACGAACACAACACAGACTCTAAGCTAGAATATCAAATATTTAATAATTCGTTTATCGTTATTTCGAATGCTCAGCTGTGACCCCCTACGTTGTTTGGTAAGTTGCTTATAGTCTATAAGACTAATGGTATCCATCTGATTCAATTACCTGAGACAAATATACACCCTAGATCCATGGTCAGATTAAAAAATCTAGATGAGACCTGATGAAACAATGATGTTTGTTTAATGCAATACCAGTTTGAGTAAGTATTAAAATTCTCCATTGCATGAAACACGTATGACAGTGAGCTTACCTGTCTGATGGATCTTCCGACAAGCCATCGGTTTAGTGGGATCAATCATAGGAATTTCGGAGCAGTTTTTGATAAAACTGTACCGATCCCATTCGGCACACAATTGCCCATCGATGTATGAATCACATACAACACAGAGAAGTGACCAGACTGTAAGCAAGAAATGGAGGAAGCAAAATCAATAGTTTTGTTGTTCACCTCAAATACGCTTAGTACTTGTGCCAAATACAAGCGGGGCAGAACTCACCTTCATTTCTACCAGCTATGCATACTATGGTAAGACTGGTTATTAGGATAGGGTGGCGTAACCACTCGACCAACATCCTCACAATAAAAACGAGCATCGGACACGATCGCCCCACAGCTGCGTTGTCAGTGCATTCAGTGATCGATCCCTGCGTTAACCGCCCATTGGGTCTTATCCATCGATGGAGGCATTTGTTGCATTCCAATTGGTTAGTTTCTGGGCGGAAAACTACCACGCGTTGAGAGGACAGAAGACACTGAGGGTATACTTGGGGCAGATCGAAATCTGTACTTACTGCAACCGGTACACTATGCCATACTCAATGCAAGTGCGTGAAGCGAGGATGGTTTCGGTTTTATGAATGTAGGTGCGGATGAACCAGCGCAGAGGGTGCAGTGTTACGACATCGGACATGGCATGATCAACTGGCTAATAACTAGTTCCAGGATGGGATTCTCATGCCTTCCTTCACTAAAGAGACAGTGCACGTATTAGCGCAATCTTTGCTTGTTTGACCATAAAGCTAGCGTTTCCTGGACACAAATCAGGTCATATAATATACTTTTCAGCAATACTGCCTTTCATAATGAGGAAACTATGCGACACTGATTTTGCGTACTGAGTCTATTGTGAAGAATGATGGTTACTTCAAATGTTACTTATGCAAGGAAAATTCTCAAAGGTCATTGATAACTTGATAAGCAAATCCGCTACCTGAACTACTCTGATCGTATACAATCTGTATGTAAAGGCAAATGGCCTACGAACCGGTTACACGTAAGCTTTCTATATTACAAAAAGTAATTTATGCTTAAGTTTGTCTCTCTAGACGAATTGCATACGTTGTTAAAATACATCGGCTTTAATATCTATGATTTGATCAGTGTTCACCGGAACAAAACGTAAGGTCTTAGTGATTCACATAAGGTTATATTGCTTCAAATGCCACTCAGGTGTCCAGTTCACAGAGGTATACTTCGAATTTGAGTGGGTCCCAATTGATAGTGCTTCTTCCATTTCCAACCTAGCTGGTAGTTCAGACTGGGCGGGCAATTGTCCCAAAATTATGATACCAGGCGTTACTTGAGGGGCTCGGTAGTGTTACGCGCTTAATGTATTGGTTAAAAAGCGGCCCCTGCATAATTTTAGTTAAAGAACCGGGCAACTTTGCTGGATTAGCACAGTGAAATGGATATTAGGCGAATTTCAGCAGTCCGGATGCAGTTCCAGTGGTTACACTCCTCGATGTCTACCGAGAAATAAATCACAATCAAGCTTGAGAGCCGGTGTCGCAATCCAAATGCATGTTGAGTGTCGCAATACCGACAGTGAAATTAAAGATATCTCGCACCTCAGTAGACTTGAACATCGTCTTTGACTGCAGCAAACTTTAGAACGTTTAGGTGCCTTTCTAATTGCAGTACGCAGCTCAAAAGCAAGATCGTTTCCTCTGAGTTTTCACCTTTCGATGCGGACCACAAACGCACTAGCAAAAGTTGCCCATTTTGACCTACCAATGTTGACCTGAATTGTTAAATACAAACCTGTGACTGCACAAGGATTAGGTCACTTAAGGTCGGCAACATTTGCAAAGACCTAACTGCCCCTACTTAATAGTTCGCAACGGAAGATGATTAAAAACGTGCGGGGCTAGGCATCATTTTTTACAAGCCAGTAAAGTTTTAAAAAACATTGCCCTCGTGCAACGGATAACAACAGTGATGGTGTTGATACCTCCGGTTGCCATTCTGTGACAAGAATCCAATAATCACCTTAGGTTGTTGACACAGTGCAGTCATCTTAGTAATCATTACAACTGACTCACTCGCGAAAATTTCTCCCAACCAAAAACTTATATCTGTTTCGGCTTTGGCTGTGTTCAAGCCTTTAATCCATGGAAGACCCTCACAATCGGTTTCATGTCTAAATTGTATCCAAAATTGGTTTAACATGGACGACCAGGATCCCCTGGAGGTTGTCGCTGTTGGCCGTGCCCAGACCGGTTAACCAAACGATTATTGCTACTTCGGTCTGCAAACATTCGCTAAGCTAAAGTTGAGTTTTTCGGTCAACATTATTCCGAACAATCGGATGGCCAGGCAAAATTATCCACTACCGAGTACTTTACTAGGTTGCGGATCGACGAATACCGTTCTTGTGAGGCTAACTGTGAAAAAGTCACATCGGGCTGACAAGGGAGTTGAAAACTAATTTGTGGGCAATCCACCGCAGCGTCCCGGGGCTTGTGGTAGCCAGCTGCTGTCTAACTGCATGTCGCAGGCGATTGTACGCTACTGATTCAATGAGAGAGTGACCGGCTACGGGGTCAAAGATCACCCATATGGTCCAATTGGAATGGGTGCGTAACGGAGAGCAGATAAATAGCCTCACTAGCTGGCGGCTTAGTTGCGGTCTAGCAACGCAGATATCATCTGAATGCCGTAATTATGTCGACGCAGCCGCACCCATAGCAAAGAAAAACGTCCTTAGTACTGCCAAGTATTGGCGAGGAAGCAAAATGGTCGTTCTTTTTGCTCTTATCAATGCCAAGCTGATACTCCTGAGATGAGCACAAAGGTTTCGATGACCTTTGTTAAACCCAAGTTTATCAGGACAGTTTGCTTCTTATAAGCTCATCCAAAAAGAAGCAGTTTATACACACGAGTCTTACTCCCATTCTTGGTTAGCCAGAGCGAAGAGGAATTTGAACAAACCAAACGGTCATGGTCGAAAGGGGACTCTGAGTTTCAAAGTGGGCATCGGATTGATGGTAGGTACTTGATAGATATGATCCAGCCTGTCTTACTTGTCGTCGTAGTACTTTGGAGGCAGCTGTTCAAAAGAAGTGCTTATGCAACTGACAGACGAGCAAGTCCTGTTTTCTTAACGCAACATGGAACGATTGCGTTATCTGTCCTTTCATTAGTTGCGGATGAGTTGCAGAGAAAACTCAAGCAGATTGGTCGAAACTAATTGGGGCAGTTGATCAACCTTACTGCCACCTCTAGTTCCTGAAACTTCAGGGCATTTCTTACCATGTAAAGACCTTGTTATGGCTGGTTTTTCTCAACCGCGCAGATTGCACTGTCTAGAAAAGGTAATAAATCCCTTTGAATTTCTATTATGTCCAAGCTTTGTCTTAGACATTATCAACTGGAGCTGCATCTGACGAAACATTTGCTTGATGCAAAGTAGTAAAAATCTTTTTCCGCCGTAACTCTCTCACCTGCGAGAGGTGAAACAGGTTCGCCTAACCTTGGTTACCATCAAAGGGACCATTTGCTGTTCACCCGGTACAATTTGGTCGAAGCAAGTAGTCCGACAGACAACGCTCCTAAACGATTTTCAAGCACCGAAGCTATCTGGTGTATTTATCGAAGTGATCTACATGGACCTTTCCCTAGCTAGGTGATGCAGGACGCCAGGTGGCACATTAGCACTTATTGAACTTAAAGATGGCATTGTTTAGACTCCGCTGCTGATCTGAAGAGGTTTCTAAAGGAAAAGTTATCAGCGAATGTTGAGCAGCATTCTAGAGAATATAAGGGAAAATTGAGGTTTTAAGTAAAGCTCTGCTGTCCAATGAACACCCAGTAAAGTTTATTCGGTTCCACAGCAGACAGCTCAAGGAGAATCCGTCAGCAGAAGATGAAAAGAAAAGAAGTTCCATTTGCTTCAGCTGTTTAAATGGGATCGCGTTGAAAGCCATCTTGAAGGTAGTTTTAAGCCGGCACTATTGCACACCTATACACGACTGTCCAATTACAACTCATTCAGAGTGCGCAAAGGAATTCTCACGACAGAACGGCTGTTTAAGCAGTCCTGCTTCTCCCATTATCTTACAGATTATTTGCATTTCGCGGTAATGTCACACAGGCAGGACTGGTGATCGCTTGTCTCAAAGCTTAGCTTAACACTTCCTCAAGTGCTCAGTATCGTCGCTATTGCAAATAAGTGGACTGTAATACTGGTTAAATACGAAACCCCCTTCAACTATCACTAAGCGCCATTTGACGACTTGTCACCACGTGACAACAGGCAGTTCGTTCATGGTGTACGTAAACAAGTGTCGTCAATAAGGGAGACGCGATTGATTAGGGGGAGTCTTCAAGTATTGTGTCAGATTATCGTGAATCCCTGCGCAACATGCACCGTCCATCACTCGAGCTCAGCTGTGTTGCCATGCCTCCAATACGTTGCACTGCATAGGTTTTGTGTTTGCAGTGCATATGACCTACTACAGCAATAAACATGCAGTCTTATCACGAGTTATATTTCACTGAGTCAATCGAGATCCTTTATTCAAGAATAGTAAAATGGTTTATATGCTTGTTACATTGGATTCGTTATTCCTGCGCATCAGCAACCCACTTTTGTTCGCCTTATGATGTCAGAGTGTCGTGGTCAACACGTAGATTTCGTTCGCTGCTCCCTGCCCGACATAAACCTAAGAGGTTCAGATCATATTCGGCCTTATTCATGCTAGGCCACATAAAAGCTACGTTAAGTTAAAGTACATTACATCTAGACTTAGTCAGACAACCTTAGCAGAAACCACACGGTAGTTTTTCTTTTCGGAATCGTCAACAGTGTACACTACATCCGGCACCTGTGGGGCTCGACTCGACAACTATCAGTCCCTGACTAGAACCCCGGGCTAGGGAGAACGAAACCCACCGAAGTGAATAAGTTACTAGGTGTGATACAGCACTGTACACCACCTTTTTGCGGGCACATTGCTAACGGGCCGAAGACTGGGAGGCTCCTCACCGTGCGACGAACTTGCCAACATTAAGCCGTCAATTAAGTTATGCTAGTATAAGCAGGTTGGTCTGCTTACTGCCTACAAAGAAGTAGTATGGGAGCAAAATGGAATAAATCAGTCGTTATCGTCCCAATAACTCAGTGGTCTTAACAACGGAATTGAAACAATCGGGTCGCGGGTTTGTGTTACACAGGGGTCGGATGAAATGCACCTCGTTGAATGAAACAGCCGTTCGGTGCTTTTGTGGGTCTATGATATTTGTGTGACTACGTCTGGATGTGCTGAGTTGCTACTTACATTATTGAACCCCCCTACTATTACTTGTAATC